CCTATTGTTACTAGCTCTCCCTTCACACTGTAACCTTTAAAATTGCAGTTTTCTTTCTCTAGAACTAGCACCTGTTTTCTTCCCTTTCTAACTCTTGCTTATTTTTCACATTATATAAACCTAGACCCCTTCCTTTCAGGCCTTACCTGAAACCTCAACTGTCCCCTGGGTTGGCCTCCCACCGGCTCCCATACCACCTTGAACGCAGCCCTCTCTGGACACCTAGCTCAATTATACATCCCTCCACAAGACTGTCAGCTCCAGAGAACCAACAGGGACACATTTTGTCAACTGCATTCTTTTGTGAAATACCGGGACATTCAAGAGGATAGATTTATTTTCATACACACCATGCTCCCTCTCACCCCTGCACACTTACTGCTCGCTAGCTCTCTCACATGCATGCACCCTCGCAATTAGATATTTACACAGACCATAGACTCACACACTTTCACACTCCCTCATGGAGTATAAAGATGCCGTAACTATGCATAATCACCAAACCTCTGTCAAAACGAGGCCTGACTGAAGAGGCGGGATTTGAAGCCAACAACTCTGTCAGTTTCTTTCTATTCCTCCAACTTCCTCTAAAATGAATGGATAGGAGTATACTCTCCCTACAGGCTAGATTCCAGGGATATGACAGATTTGGTACCAATCGCTGTGGAGAATCATCAAATATGTGCTAAAAGTAAAGCCAGTCCAAAGACTGAGTCTTAGGTTTTCACTGAAAGCACATTACTAAGAATACACACTCCAGCAAATCCACAGCCCAAAAATAGCACTTGTATTTACCAACTGGTCTTCTCAGTTTACACTCTTACTAGCAGTATAAAATAAAATATTTCTAATCAAATATTAACATTACTAAAGACAGGTGGCTTAGTTGAACACAATGCTTAACATAGCTGTAAAGATGCAAACAACCTAACATTCAACTTTTAATCTACCTTTTCTGATGCTAAACTCTCAAACTGTCTTTTCCAATACTAACTATATCAGAAATCAGCTAAAGAATGAACATTTCTTGAGGCTATGGTGAGCTATAATTACACCACTGCACTCCAGCTGGGAAAACAGAGAAAGACCTCAAAAAAAAAAAAAAAAAAAAAAAAAAAAGAAAGAAAGAAAAGAAAAGTTAAATTCCAGCAATGACATTTTACTGGCAATGTTTGTTTATGTAACTAATTAAGTGCTCTATTACCTTCTGCCTTTAGAATTTCATTTTTAAAATTAGAATATAGTAGGAAATTAGACAGCTGGAGATCACTGATTCCTTATGTGTTTAATTGTGAAAAAAAGTAGAGAAGATGTAATAAATCTTAGATCTATTACATCTAAAAGGAAAAATGTTACATTGTCTCTCTTATAATCAATTTTATAAATTAACTCTCATATTCAGTATTTAAAGGTGATTTAGAAAGCACATATGAAATCAATGCTTACCTACATGGGTAAATTTAGTCTAAAAAGTCTGCTTACATTTTAAAACATAGAAATGAAAGTAGCTACTAAAACTCGATGCTCTGGAACTTGAATTTTTCAGCCTTCTTCAGCCAACACTTTTGTTTTCATAACAGTGTCATCTGTTTTATTTTGTATTTATTCTATTTATTTATTTATTTATTTGAGATGGAGTCTCACTCTGTCGCCAGGCTAGAGTGCAGTGGTGCAATCTTGGCTCACTGCAACCCCCACCTCCCAGGTTCAAGGGATTCTCCTGCCTCAGCCTCCCGATTAGCTGGGACTACAGGTGCATGGCACCACACTCAGCTAATTTTTGTATTTTTAGTAGAGACGGGGTTTCACCATGTTGGCCAGGATGGTCTTGATCTCTTGACCTCACGATCCACCCGCCTCGGCCTCTCAAAGTGCTGGGATTACAGGCATGAGCCAACACACCCAGCCAACAGTGTCATTTAACTCAAAGAGAAAATATATCTGGAAGTAGAGTTGTAAAAATCCACTGGAATGTATATTAAAAAAACAAAAACAAAAACAAAAAACCTCTCATAACAATGCACTTTTCATACGCCCTAGTGCTATGGTTTAAATATCCCTCCAAAACTCATAGTGGAATTTAACTGTCATTGTAATGGTATTAGGAGGTAGAACCTTGAAGAGGTGATTACGTCATGAGAGCTCCATCCTCCTGAATGAATTCATGCCATTCTCATGGGAGTGGGTTAGTTATATCAGAATTGGGTTCCTAATGAAAGGATAAGTTTGGACACATTTATCTCTTGGTCTAATGTGCTCCCTTGACCTTCCAACATGTTAAGAGGCAGCACAAAGATGTCAGATGCCAGTACCATGTTCTTGGACTTTCCAGACTCCAGAACCAAGAGCCATATATTTTCTTTATAAACTACCCAAGCTGTGGTACTCTGTTGTAGCAATTAAAAAAAAAAAAAAAAAAAAAAAAAAAAAAGTGGTCTAAGACACCTAATAAGAACACAAGTCTCAATAATGGGCAGTAAAACTAAACCAGCAAAAGAACTGACATGCTAAGAAACATCTAAAAATATACGAGTCATATGAGTGGCCTGAACTATGTTGCTCCTTAGGCCCTGCTCTCATCAATGCCACACTCCTCTGCTGCTTGGATTCTGGATCTTTGAATATACCTAGATACAGGAATTTGGGCAGAATGCAGTAATTAGTCCCAGCCATCAAATATAGGGTATTCCTCATCAATATCTTTTTCTCTCACCTCCACCCTAATCAGAGGCACAATTTGGATCACATGCAAGCATAAATAGATTACAAAGGCCTTTTTTAAAAAATGGGGGAGTGTGACTGGGCATTGTGGCTCACATCTGTAATCCCAGCAATTTAAGAGGCCAAGTCAGGTGGATCAGCTGAGCTGCGGAATTCAAGACCAACTTGGGCAACAGGGTGAAACTCCATCTTCATAAAAATAATAATAATAATTAGCTGGGGAGGTCGTGGTGCAGCACTTATAGTCCAAGATACTCCAGAGGCTGAGGTGGCAGGATCGCTTGAACCTGGGAGTCAGGAGGTTTCAGTAAGCAGAGATGATGCCCCTGCATTGCAGCCTGGGCAACAGAGCCAGACCCTGTCTCAGAAAATAAAATAAAATAAAAAATAAGGGGGATATGCTTCAACTGACACCATCAAGAACATAGAATGATAACACTCAGAATGGGAGGAAATATTTGTAAATCATATATCTAATAAGGCACTTGTATTCAGAACACATAAAGAATTTTTGCAACTCAATAATGAAATAGACAACTCAATATTTGTAAACAGGCAAATGATCTGAATAGACATTTCTCCAAAAACATGAATAACTAATAAGTAAATGAAAATACTTGCTATATTAGTCACTAGGGAAATACAATCAAAATCACATTGAGATACCACTGTACAACCACTAGGATGGCTATAATAAAAAAGACAATAACAAGTGTTAGTGAGGATGTACAGAAATTGGAACCCTCATACATGATTGATGGGAAGGTAACATGCAGATGCCTGGAAAACTGTTTGGCAGTTTCTTAAAATGTTCCATATAAAGCTACCACATAATCCAGCAATTCCACTCCCAGACATATACCCAAGGAAAATAAAAACATATGTTCATATGAAAACTTATACATCAAGGTTCATAGCAGCATTATTCATAGAAGCAAAAAAGTGGAAATAACACAAATCCTACCAACTGATGAAAGGATAGGTATGCTATATCTCTACAACGGAATAGTATTGGGCAATTAATAAGAATGATGCACTGATAAAAGCTGCAGTATGGATTAACTTCAAAAACATTAAGAGAAAGAAGCCAGTTACAACAGACCAAATGTCGTATAATTCTATTTATGTGAATGGGCTTGAATAGGCAAATCTATAGAAGCAATAAAGAGATTACTGTAGGAAGTGAGGAGGATGGGAAGTGACTGCCTAAGAGGTTTCTATTTGGGGTGATGAAAGTGTTCTAAAATTAGATAATGATGATAGTTACAAAACTCTGTAAATACACTTAAAAAATCCAATTTTACACGTCCAATAGGTGAATTTTACAGTATATAGATTATATCTCAAAAAAGCTGCTTTAAAAAGGGAACGAGGAGGATGCAGTAACACACGGTATTTCCCGGTGCCTTTGAAGACTGAATAGTTATGATCAGATCTTTAGTCACTTTGGAAAACGGTTTCCATGTTTAAATCCAACACTAAACAAGACACGAAAATAAAGTATCATTGAAGAAACTGGGGTCCTGGAGACAGCAACAAAATAGTATGTGCATTTTAGGGAAAATACGTGTATTAAAATAGGTCCACGGAATACAGGTGGTGTAAAGGCTTTGGCAAACAATGGGTAAATATTTCTCAGCGGAACTAAAGAGCTTAATGAAAGCTGTTTAAAAAGCAACAGCAGCAGCAGCAGCAGCAGCAGCAGCAGCAGCAGCTTTTCCAAGTGCCTATTGCTCTCAGTATCTCAAACTGACAGATTTTAGTATCTGCTACTCCTACAATTAACAAGCATCTCAAAGCATGATCAGTAACGGGAAGAGAGAGTGAGGTAATAAGACTCGAGGACCAGCTCCTTACACGTGGGATAACTGTCTTGCACTCTATACTGCTACTTTCTTTGGGAAAGCCTTGGTTTCCAGTGGCTGAATTCGGAGGCCCAAGCACCGCAGCGCTAACCTAGCAGCTCCGAATTACTCGGCGGTTCCCAGGCCTGCAGGGGAGCAAGGAGGGTGTTCCGGAACCATAGGGATCACGGGTCGCAGGTCCCTGGCGCGCAGGAGCAGCAGAGAAATCTGTGGGGCGCCGAAACCAACCCCACTCACCCCAGGCGGGGGACTCTGCCCTGCAGTCCCGGTTTCGCGCTGGGCAAGCCACGCTGCGAACCTCCCTAGAATTCAGGCCGCAGGGCGGCCAACGTCCCCCCGGACCCCCGCGCCGCGGGTGGCGGTGTGCAGGAAGCCAGCCCGGCTCTCCCTTGACGCCTCTTGGCGCGGTCCTACCTTCCTCAGTCAATACTTCGAGGAGATTCGGGTCGCCCATCTTCGCCAGCTCGTTAATGACACTGGTGCCCGAGAGGCAGCAGGAGACGTGCAGCTGAGACGGGCGTGGAGATCTGGACCAGGTGCTGAATCTGACTGTGGGCAGCCGGAGTTGCTGCTGCTGGATTTCTAAGGGACTGCTCTTCCTTCTGCAGGCCTCCTTCTCCTCCTCCTCCTCCTCCTCCTCCTCTTCCTCCTCCTCCTCCTCCTCCTCGGACTCCACAGTCTCTGGGCACCTCAGCCAGCCGGCCTTCTTCTCCAGCGGGTACTTCCACTCGACCCGGTCCCCGACAACCTGCTTCGTGTGCTTGGCCCCGGGCTTCCCCACCCTCACCCGGTAGCGCTCTTGGGCGCTCTCCCAGTACTTCTCCAGACACCTGTCCCTGTGCCTGCCCGGCAGCCGATCTCGCAGCCGCCACTCCTCCCGGCGCTCGCCAGGGTCCTTTCCACTCCCGCCCTCTGGCAGCTCTCCTTTCCCCTTCGCTTCTTCTCTGTTGTTTCCACGCTTCTTTCCCCGCCTACAGACCGCAAGACCGGCCGGCGCCCCACCCTCGGAGACCGCCATCTCCCCGCCCCCCGGCCTGGCTGGCTCCACGCCAGCCACCTCCTCTCCGCTCAAGCAGTCCCCAGGTCCCTGCTCTGCCGCCTCCCGCACCTCCTCCGGACTCGCAGCCTCCCGTCCCTCCTCGGAACCCGTCGCCTCCGGTCTCTCGTTGGGACCCGCCGCTTCCCGTCCCTCCTCAGGACCCGCGGCCTCCGGTCTCTCCTGAGGAGCCGCAGCCCACCGGCGCTGTTGGCCGGCCTCCTCCATTCTCTACAGGCTTCGCACGTCCTTTTCCACTGGGTCCACCCACGACCAGGAATCCTGGTTCCCCAGGGCTGCCGCCTCCCTCCTGTCGGAATCCTCTTCCTCCGATCCCCACAGGGGGTCCTGATGCTCCCTCAGCCGGTTGGCCCGGTCCTCATCGATCCTCTTGGCCCTAAGCCAACCCTGCGTGCCACTCGGAGAGAACCCCCCTCCCAGTTGGGAGTTACTTTTTGTCGCGTGGGGAAAAGACCCTTTCCCTTAAAGGAACCCCTCCCTATTTAAGGCCGGCGAATGGCTGGAGACCAAGATGCCAGCAGCCCCTTCCCCATAGCGTCTGGAGCGGGAGTATTACCTTTTCTCCTGGCCCTGCCTGCTTCCTGGGTTCCCAGCAGGAACTCTGCCCTCTACAGGTGAGGGAAGGTCATTCCATGTGGCCTGAGTTCCAAGTCAGCCTCTGCCCCTTTGTTAGCGTGGGGCAAGTTTCTCTAAGTTTCAGTTTTCACATCTTTAAAGGAGAATGATAATAGTACCTACCTCCTAGGGTGTTGTGAGAAGCACGGTGCACAGTCCTTGGCACAGAATGTGTTAAACATTTAACTGCTATTAAGATTAACCCATATTATAGTCCACCTGGTATGATACCTGTCATCATCTCAGCTGGACGATATTGCTTGAAATCTCAGGAGTTCAAGACTAGCCTGGGCAACACAGGGATACCCCTGTCTCTACAAAAAATTGGAAAATTAGCCGGGCATGGTGGCAGGCACCTGTGGTCCCAGCTACTCAGGAGGCTGAGGTGGGAAGATCTCTTGAGCTCAGAAGATTGAGACTACAGGGAGCCACAATCATCCCACTGCACTCCAGCCTAAGCGATGGAGAGCAAGACCCTGTCTCAAAAGAAAGTGAAGAAAAGAAAAAAGAAAAGAAAAGAAGAGGGAGGAAGGAAGGAGAGAAAAGAAAAGAAAATTAACCCATATTACATTGATCCCTACTCCATTTCAAAGGGTTGCTTTGTTTCCCCCCTCCACTTCCTGCCCACCCCAACTAACCTCAAGAAGAATGGTTCCTTCTACTCCTCACAGGCCCCTCTGCATTGGTTCTGTGCTTTTGAGACTCGATCAACTGCCAACTACACAATAATTGAGAGACTAGATTCACTGTCTAATTGGGGGCGGAATAAGACTGATGATGAACTAACGGTGAGGTAGAGGTCTCAGCTGAGAGCCTTGAGTGCTGAGGAGGGAGTGACTGTATTAGTCTGTTCTCATGCTGCTAATAAAGACATACCTGAGACTGGGTAATTTATAAATGAAAGAGGTTTAATGGACTCATAGTTCCACATGGCTGGGGAGGCCTCACAATCATGGCAGAAGGCAAAGGAAAAGCAAAGGCACGTCTTACATGGGGGGAAGGCAACAGCTTGTGCAGAGGAGCTCCCATTTATAAAACCATCAGATCTCCTGAGATTTACTACCACTAGCATAGTATGGGGGAAACCACCCCCATTATTATCTCCACCTGGCCCTGCCCTTGACACATGGGGATTATTACAATTCAGGGTGAGAATTATTACAATTCGCTGGGCACGCCATGCAGCGAACCAGATCAGTGACTCTGAGTTTAGGACAAGGATGGGGTGATTTGAAAGTCAGGATGAGGTAACCAAAGAAGTCTTGACCTTTCTTCATTTTTCTGCTACTGCATTCCCCTCCCCACCACCATTCTATTGATATTTCAGAACTGAGAATCACTTTTTGCAAATGAGAAAACAGGCCTAGAGAGAAGTGTTTTGGTAAAGGTTATGATTAACCAGAGAACAGGAAATCAGTTTTGCCCCTATACCTTACTTTCCTTCTTATATGTCTAGGAATACATGAGCTCTTGTCAAGTGATTTGAGACTATATGTAGGCAATTCCTTACTTGATGTAATTTGGAATTGTGTTTGAAAGGTGATGATACATAAGCATAGACTTACACATTAAATTATAAAGACTAATTGTGATAGAAGTGTTTGGTTATCATCTCTTGATTATTAATCCTTGTTTGGGCTTCTAAGAAAATTTCTACAATATGAATGTTTTCTAATATTTTTCCTGTATATCAGGTATTTTTCTAGGTGCTATGGACATTGTGAGTTAAGAGCTGGGGAGAATCTTTGCTTTATATAGATTAAGTTTAAATAAATAAAATAAAATTATTTTTCTATTATTTTATATAATTTCTTGCTTCATGTTTTTTACTCTGTTCTGTATTTGAAGTGATGTGTATAAGAAGACATTATATGTTGATGATTTGGCTCCAAATTAAATGAAACATTTCGAGGCTTAGTTTGATTAGATTTTTATCAACATGCTTTAAACTTTGTTATAAGAGTTGAAAACCAGCTATGTTCTTTTAATAAAGGTCTGGGTTGTGACCATAACTCTTTATATCTTGAGAAATATTTTCTGTATTCATATCATTGACATATTTTATATTGCTTATCCATTTATAATTTTAGGATATGCCCATTTTCTCCTCCATTACTATACTCTGCATTGTTAGATACAATCTTTAACCATACATTTCTAGAATTACATTCTGAGTAATATATACATGTTCCTTTAATGTAATTGAACATTCAGTTAAGTACTGAATGTAGCCCAGAAGTTGTCTTTTTTATTGAATTCAGCCCAAAGTTGTCTTTTTTTAACCCTCCAAATGATTTCAGCCTTTGTTTAAATTATTACAAGCATCTGGTAACACTTTTTCTTATTTGCCTTTTGTATCTTATACTGAGTAGTATGCCAAAGTTTTTAAACGATGATGTAAGCATAGTTACAAAGATATAAATGGTGATATTTTGGAAACTAAATTATCAACTGGCACCTTACAGTATTTGTATGCCTGCTGATCAGTAAAAGTGTGAATTCCCTATAGGAAAGGCATCACAGGAATGTAAGTGTATAGTGTGTGAAAAAAAGAGCCTAAGCTGTACGAAAGTTAAATGTATACTCTTAAGCAACTCCTGCATGTGAAGTTTTTATTATTCTAGCAGGCTGATTCAATCACTGAACTTAACTCAAATTAAAGAGCATAACTTTACAAGCTAGACTCCGAAGACCAGAAAAAGCCTTAGGAACCCACCTAATGAATATATTTTCCTTCTGGTGTTTAAAGCAAGGATATGGTACCTCCCATCTGTGGCCTGGATTGGTTTGCTTTTTTTTATTTCTTCACAAGTCAAAGCTTTGACTCCTGGAAGTTCCCTCCTTTTGGACTTCTTATCATGCAATGGTTTTAAAATTCATTTATTCCATGTATTTTGAATATCTCTGCAGTTCACATAAAATGCCATACTCTAATACATGGAGTGTTGTGCAGGAGTGAAAAGACATGCATTAAATCCCTGTCCTTACCCCTTAATAAGGTGGGCAGCACAACGATCATGGACAGATGACTTGGCTTCTTTCATCCCCAGCTCCCTTCTCTGGATATGAAGTTTCTTAATGTGTTCAAGCCATTGAATGGCTCACATACAACAACATCTGTTGTAAAAGTCAAATAAATCCTATGCATGAAAGAAATTTGGAAACAATTAAAATGTACCAAAATAGGAAAAAGTTTTATTGACTGGCAGAGGTAAAGTTAAATTAATAGAGTTACCGGAAGGTAGGAATACTAGTTGAGGGTGTTGTTTCCCCCACACTCCTACAAAATGCTGCTTCCACAGTTTCTCTGGAATTTGCAGTGACTTTCTGACTCCATATATTCACTACTCCTTGGTTTCAGAGGAGGGTCCAAATCTCTTTATTTTCCAAATTGATCACCTTGAATCTTGACATTTTTAGGCCCCAGGCCTTAACAATAGGCCTCAGTCCTCTTTACTAGCTTGTTCATTTCTACCTGCCATCTTTCATTCTTCTCAGAAAAAGCTCACTTTATGGGCTGATACCTGGAACACTAGTGGTCATCAGAAAATGGGGTTTAATACTTGACAGTCACATGCATGCTTGATATTTCCCGATCTCAGTGCCTAGGATGGCATATCCCCTCTGTCTCATAGCCAGAAAACTGCCATTTGTCCTCAGACTAAAGAAATCATGGAGAACTGTTTCAGCAATAGAAATGGAGCAAGAAAGCATTATTCTCTCCTACACTTTGCATATGCTACTGCATTAAATCTCAAGATGATATGAAATACATGCTTATCAGACATTTATTGTATTTACTGCATGTCTTGGCTCATCCTTTTTTAAAACAACCAACTTTATTGAGGTATAATTTATATTTGTCTTAGTCCACGTAGTGTTGCTGTTACAGAATACCCAAGGCTGGGTAACTTACAAAGACAAAGAAAAGAGGTTCATTTGGCTCATGATTCTGGCAGCTGGAAGGTTCAAGATCAAGCAGCTGTATCTGGTGAGGGCCTCAGGCTCCTTTAACTCATGGTAGAAAGTGGAAGAACAGACGTGTGCAAAGAGATCGCATGGCAAGAGAGGAATCAACAGAGAGAAAAGCTGAGGAAGCCAGACTGTCCTTAACAACTTGCTCTCATGAGGGCTAATCCATTGCTGTGAGAGAAAGAACTCACCCCCCTTGGAGGGCATTAATCTATCCATGAGAGATCTGCCTATATAACCCAAACTCTTCCCACTAGGTTCCAGTTCCAGCATTGTTAAATTGAGGATCAGATTTCAGCATCAGTTTTGGTGGGGAAAAACCACATCCAAACTGTAGCAATATTGGTAATTATATTTGTATTAATAATTAAATTGCCAATTGTAAGAGTACAATTAGAGAAATTTTCTGACATGTACAGTCTATGCTTACGTAAACATCACACATTCATTATATAGAACATTTTCAAAAACCACCCCATTCACCTTTGTAGTTAATCCCTTCATTCTATCCACTGGCCCCTCGCATCCACTGATGTGCTTGCTCTTATTGTACCTTCTTTGCTCACCTTTTTACTCTAATCTTTACTATAGTAAATATCTGTGAACACATAACAGTACCTTGCCTTAGCTCTATCTTATACCTTATGCATTCTGTCCCAGGGCCTCTCTACCACCATAATGTGGGTTGCCTATTCTTGTCCACAATTCCACCCTGACATATGTGCAAAACTGTAAGTAGGAGGAAGTTAGGGCAACACAGGGCAACTCTGAACAACAGGTGATGATGGGTAAATATTTCCTTTTTCCATTCCTTCAAGGGGCAATTCCGAGATGCATTTTGCATAGCTCTTTAGGTATTCTTTAGAGACCAACACTTATTTGCCCATAATGGTAGCTAGCTCAATAGCATGTTCCCTGATTGGCTCTCTTTTCATGTTTGAGTCTTCCAAGCCCCCCATTTCC